TGTGTGTGTGTGTGTGTGTGTGTGTGTGTGTGTGTGTGTGTGTGTGTGTGTGAGTGAATTGGGCACTGAAGAAAAAAACTTAAGAAACCCTCCTCTAAGACATATCACAATAAGGGTGCAGAGTATTTTACACCAAACATAAAGCCTACCATAAACTAGTAAAAAGTAGATTTAAAGTCATTCATAAAAACACCCAACAGGAGTGGAGTGTAAAACACAAGGCGTGTGGTGATGCTTAAAGTAGAGCCATGTAACTTCAATGATGAAAATAAAATGCAATGCAATAGGCACAGCTGTGACAACTGTTCAGTTCCTGTACCCCTGCCAGCAAAGGTTTTCTGTGCCTCTCTCTGGTACAGACGCATTTGCACTGAGCTCACACAAACACTTGGTGCTTTTAAAAACTGCAGCTATGAAGCAACACGGACCTGCTGGGAAACAATAACCGTCAGATTAGTCCCTCCTCCCTTTTTTTTCACCAAGAGGTGTTTGTCTTTACGCTTTGTTTTTTCTACAACAACCGCGTCTCATAATTCACTGTGTATGCAAATGGTTGAGTAACTCCAGGTAACCTTCAAGCCAAAGATACACACGGAAAACAATATCCTGTTTAAACACGAGCTTCGCTTCCCAGCCTGCCCCTTAATCTGTGAATTGTCCGCTCAAGGTACGTGTATAAAAGGATTTTCTGGGGAAACAAAGCTGTTGGTTTACCAAACAGATCTGAGGGTGGGATTTGGTAAGGACGGGAAAACTGCTTGCTCATCCTTTATCAGCAAGAGTGCATGAGTCAGCGCCGCTCTGATACACCCAGGGTTGTTACAACACACATAGGCAAGCACACAGACGCACACTCCCTCTATGCCTCTCCCCCTCCTCCTCTCTCTCTCTCTCTTTCTCTTTCTCTCTCTCTCTCTCTCTCTCACACACACACACACACACACACACACACAGGCCATATGACTGAGTCAAGCTTAGATTTTCGTTTGTATCTGACTCGCGATAAGGATTTATGGGAAACATAGTCCGGTTAGACAGCATTCCATGTAGAAAAAACATGTGTGTTAAGCTTGCTGGGACTTAGTTACACACCCTAACCAGCGCGGAAATCTACTCCAGAGTAAGACTAAGGTAGGCATGCTTTCGTTCCTTTGTTTGTGGTTGTGTTGTATTTTATGAAGTAACATTAAAAGTATATCATGTTGTTGTGACAGAAGGGAACTGGTGAACTCTGACGGAGAGACTCTGTGTGTTTGCTGTACAAACAGATATCTATCGGTGGCCATGTCTGCCCCACGGTCGTCTGTGTTTACATTCGAGTCCACCGCTCATTCCTCCCATGTGCTGAGCTCCCTGGACGAACAGCGGCGGCGGGACGTGCTGTGCGATGTCACGGTAGTGGTGGAGGGCCAGAGTTTCAGAGCCCACCGCTCGGTGCTCGCTTCCTGTAGCGAGTACTTCGCGCAGAGGATCTCCTCATTCACACAACATGGGGCGGTCGTCACTCTTCCCCAAGAGGTGAGAAATCACGTCGTGACGCCACAGAGGTGGAAATTATTACACATGCACAAGCTCACGATAACAAAATGTTTTCTGAAAGTGAAGTGAGAAAGGCGCTTGTGAGGCTCGTTTACTCACAGGTAGTCGCAGAGTTGGGAATTTGTTTGTTGTTGTTGTTTTAAATAATAAATGAGACCGACTGTTGTTTTAAAACGCACGGAAGCGCCAACATATAATCTCTGGCGTCAGTGGACAAATCCATAAAGGAAAGATCAGGTCAAACCGGTTAGTGGCTCAATTTTGGTTAAAAAGTCAGACTTAGAGTACTTTTTTTATTCAAGTAAAACCTGCTTTCATAGACAGTCAGAGACTGTCATCATATTAACAGTTAATCCTTTTTATTTCCCGAAACTTCTTTAGTTGGCATAAATCAATCTATTTTCACATGTGGACATACAGTACTTTTCCCTTCATCGTCTACTCTTACAGGAAGTACAGAATTAGGCAGAACATGCTCTTTTTAAAAGAAAATATGTATTTGACCTCTTTTACAGGTGACAGTCACTGGCTTTGAACCCTTGTTGAAGTTTGCCTACACGTCCAAACTACTCTTTGGAAAAGAGGACGTCCTAGAAATCCGAAACTCGGCGGTCATTCTTGGCTTCAAAGACCTAGATGAGGGATGCTTTGAGTTTCTGCTCCCTAAGTTCCTCTCCACCACCACCAAAGGTCCTCCTCCATTCAAGAGAAAGACCTGTTGTAAAGAGAAGAGCAAGCGGCCGCCTTCAGAGGAAAACAGCAACACAGACTCTGACAGCGTATTGTTGGATGAAAAAGAAGTACAACCAGTTGCTGAGTCATCATGCCAGCGGGAAGTGGTTCAGGACTGTAACAAATCAGTGAACAACAAAGTGGGAAGTCAGAAGAGCACAGACACAAGTGCACTAGTAGCTGAGGGAACAAATGACAGTTTTATGCAGTGTCCAAAGTATCGCAAGTTCCAGCTAGCTTGTGGGAAGGACGCTTCTGTCACAGAGAAGAGCCTGGTCAAAACAACAGGGGTCAGGAATGACTGTGTCATCTCTGACTTGCCGTGTTCCAGCAGTGCAAACAGTAAGAATGAAACTAAGACTGAAATCTCTGGAAATCCAGTCTTAAGTGGCTACAGACAGAATAAAGGAGGGACTGATGAGCCATGGAAAATTCAAATAAATGATGGGAAGACAGAGAACTGCTTGGGCAGAGCGACAGCTCTTATGGTTAAGAAGGACACAAATGAAGGAGGGGGCAAATGGAGCGAGAAAGTACGAGAGAATGATATTGAAATGGACGACGGGCTAGAGGGTGCAAGTGCAATCGCCTCCTTGGAAATATCCAGTGTCCAGTCAGACTCCTCAGAGTCAAGCGCAGTGCTGACTGAGAGGTCATCAGGGTTAATGCTGCACCATGGCCCTCAAAGGGCCTTGAATGAGGGTCCTGTAATCTGTAGACCACTGAGGCAGGAAAGATTTTGTATGGACATTGAAGAAGTAATAAGCCCTATTGTACGATGGCCAATCTCCAGTCAAAACAAGGCAGAGGATAAGATAGAGGGAGAGGGGAAGAGGGTAGATAATGGCTTTCAAGAAGCAAGAAAAGAAGGAAGCAAAAATGGAAGAGTAGCCTTGCCTGTAAATAATATCAATGCGGAGAAGGAAATGGCTGAGGGCCTGGCACGGCAGCTGGGATCTGATATAGACCACTGTCAGCTCAACTTTCATGACCCCAAGGGCGGATGTCCCACCAATATAGGGGCCCAATGCCCACAAAGCACATCTTTAGAGTGGCCGAAGCATAACACCCCCAAAACAAGCTGTCCCCTTTTCCAGGATCTGGACCAAAGGAAATATTCATGGAAAGGAGAAGGGCTGTCTGAGTGTGAGGGGGCATCTCAGTCAGGTGTGTCCTCCTTTAACTCGGGGGAGGACGGCGACTCGGAGACAGAAACGGAAGGAGACAGCGAGTCCTCCGCAATAGAGAGGGCCAGGCAGGTGAGAAGTTAAAATGAATCTCTTCTCCTCTGTCCGGCCCTGCTTAGCCACAACACCTTCTTCTGTAGTTCACGTTGTTCAGAAACTGCAGTGCCTTGAGAAGCATCACCACCTTGCCTGTGGGTGACTTCACTGTGCTTGTTATAGATACCAGTTTTTGGCACATTTTATCATATTCAAATTTGCTTTCAGGCAACAGAAAGGAGAGTTGCCGTGGAGGCTGGTTAAAAATTCACCCAGCTGCGTGTGCGTTGGGACCGTGTATATGCGTCCAACCAGCTGGTTCAGAGTCCAGTTTAGCTTACATTCACAGCTCAGCCTGTTGAGTTAGTAATAAGTGTGAGTCAAACAACAAGTCTGAAGAAGCTCTCAAGTCCAAGCTGACCACTCGGATTGGACAAATAAGGCAGTGAGTGTGCAGACGAAGCTAAGGTCATTTCAGAGGAAAAGCTTTTATTTATAGTAGATAAAACAGTACATGGCTGATACTGTTCCAATATTTCCTGTCCCAGTTTAGCAGCAGCAGGTTTTTAGAGTTAACAATTAACACCTTGGTAAAAATGTAACTCCTTGTTCACTTTTTTTACCCGTTTACACCACTTACAGGAAGTACCACAAGGGACTTTAAATAAAAACAAAGTAAATGAATTAAATTAAATTCGATAAATTAAAATATACATAGCCATAAGAAATACACACTGGCCGTAATCATTTCATACCAATAGAGAAACAGTTGTGTTTTTTCTGTGCCATCCTGTTTTTTTGTGGGTGTTCCCATACTCACATGTTATCTAACTTCCAGCTTTCTTTGTTTATTTATCAAAGCCTCTTGTAAGACAAACAGAGACAGTCCTGTGTTGTGATGTTGCGTAAAGATTTAAAAGTATGTCATTAAGGAACACTCTTTGTCTCATTTTAGAAACGATGTCATGTAACATTTTCTTCTTCTTTTTTTTCCTGCTGGGTTTCTTCAGGTGCAGCTGCCATTCTCTGTAGACTGGATAGTGGAGCTGAGCCGAAACGACTTCCAGCAGCTGCTAAAGCAACATGCCTTTACGCGTGAACAGCTGGACTTTGTCCATGATATGAGACGACGCAGCAAAAACCGCCTCGCAGCTCAGCGATGCCGCAAGAGAAAACTGGACTGCATATATAATCTGCAGTGTGAAATCAACAAGCTGGTAAGTATGTTTTGTTTTTTGTTTTTTTAAATCAGTAAATTTATCCAAAAGATGCTCTCGGTCGTGCTAATCGGATTGTGTGTTTTGTGTATGTGTATCACAGAAGACGGAGAGAGAGAAACTGATGCTGGAGAAGAGCCAGTTGAGCCAGCTAAAGTTGAAAACGTGTCACAGTGTTTCTGCTTTATGCCAGAGGGTCTGCAGTGAAGCAAATCTACAGCCAGAGCAGCTGCAGGTGTTAGCCAAGTACACCTCCCCAGACTGCCCTCTGTCCTCTTTCTGTCCTCACACAGACACTCTTCTCTCACAGCATGGGTTGCCACTCCAGCCATAGGTGTCCTCTGTGGGTGTTGAACAGTATATGACAAATGAGGAAGCTCCATGAAGTTCCAGCAGGGACACAGTCACTGGACAACATTGACTTTAGATACAGAACAAGCACACTGATGTGGCGATACAGGGTGTCAGAGGACTGCGGCTCCTGAGGTTTTTTATTTCAAACTGATTTTGAAGCCTTACTGTAACCCTTCTCATACATTATCTGAGGGCCTTTACTGTGTATTGTGGCCTGTGTGCAAGCTCCAGTATGAAGCAATGGCTTTGCCAAGTACGATTTTAATTGTAATCGAAAAATTAATTTGCAAATAGAGGACCACAATCAACTGCATTTTTATTAACTACCCTTTGATTTCCAAATGTATATCGAGTGGGCGGGAATGTGTTCCTTGTGTTTAAAATCATTTCGATTGTCCACCGGTTAGAAGTCCTTCGATGGTGTGCTGTAGCAGATGTTTTTTTTTTTAACACTGTAAATAGCTTACAGTTGAATATCTGGGGAAGCAAAGCAACACAGTCAGGGAGACATTTATAGTTTTAACTGTAACCGAATGGGGACATACATTTATAACATGCCTCACTGCCTGACTACCTCAGGATGACGTGTACATACTTTACAACACAGGTCTCAGGTGTGAACAAGACTATTTGGCCAAAATTACCTCTTGCCGAGGGTGTTGGTTCAGCCCTCTTACTCAGAATTAAACACACATCAGCATTTTGCACCAAAACCACGCAACTCAACTAACAAAACAAAAAGGACTTGACATAGTGTGGCATGTTTACTTTTTGTCTGGCTCTCAGTTTTCTGGCTGTCATTGTGGTTTTATATCATCCGCATTCCACAATGACACAGCTCTTTTAAACTGCAAACGCCTCTCACAGTTTTACTGTAACTCAGTGAAACACACCTCAGGAATTTTAGCTGAGTCTTTAGCTCCACTGCGTGAACAAAGCACGCCCGTCTGAGGAAAGGGTGGAATTAAAATGATTGAACCAGCCTCCATGTTTTCCTAACCTTTCATTAAATGGAAATATTGCAAGTTATCCACAGCCGATAAAGTTATCTTTATCGTTCGTATCTAAATTATTGGAAAAGATCAATAAGCACGCAATAAATAACGCAGTGATAGATTCAGATGTACAAACTGTTTTATGGTTGTCTTTTAGACTTTATTCTAGCAACTGCACTTTTTTTTCCCCTCTATTCAGCATTCCGTTTATTAATCTGCTTTCTGTAGCGTTTAGCATTTGCTGCTTTGCAGCTACTCTTCTGGTTTTTCTGTTCACTATTTGCTGTTATTATATGTTTGCATTTATGAAATTGTTGTCACTCATAATAATCACCTGAGCGTAGCTGGACTTGAACTGATTAGTGTAAAATGTGATTTGAACAATAGTGTAAATCAGATATGCTGAGTAACCACACTGTGTTTTCGATGACAGTAAGCTTTGAGGGACGATGACAAAACAATCCTTTGCTTTCTCTTTCAAGCTGACTGCACACTGCACAAGAAATGCGTGATAACTTAGGTGCGTATTGCCCTCTAGTGGCAGTATGTGTGTTTATGCAATCATTCCACTAAGTACAGACGACTAGTTTGTACTACATTGAGCTGTTCTATTGATTGTGTGTGTTTTTTAAGCCATGTTCCAAAAGTACTGTTTCTGTCTATGAACTTTTGCAAGTGCATTCCCGATTTTTCTTATTTTTAGACCATATGTAAAAACAAACCAAAACCCCCAATATTAAACTGAATAAAGAAGCATAAAGTTTCCCAAACAGTAAAATATGTTTCTTTGTCCTTCACTTTTAATCCCGGAAAACATCAGTAACGTTAATGAGATGTAATATTTCTTAGCATGTATGACAGATAGCTGAGCTTACAGGGTCTTCAGAGGACTCATCTTTCAAATTGGACAGACATATTAATGATTTATTACTACACTACATTGTTAATATTAGTCCCTTTAAATTTGTAGACAATCTCTACCACTTTGTCTCACCTCTGTGCTTTTTAATCTCCTGCCTGATCTTCCTTTGTTTTCGCCTCTTTCATCACTGCCCCTTTCCCCCCTTTTTTCTCTGTCAGGAGGCTGATTTAATTAGCAGCGTCTTTATGTCATCTCTTAGTTTTCTTTTATGTGAGCAAAAACAGCACGATAACACTACACCAAGTTTTTTTAATTGCAGCAATAACAGTCATTCTCACAGCTTACTCAGGGTGAAAGAATGTATGAAATTGGGTGCAAAAGGTCAAGTGGGTTAATTTGGCCAAATTGATTGGGTGGGAACCGACAAACGATAAGTTCCAAGGGCTTAAAGATGAGGAAATCACCTTAAAGCAGGTGGTCCTAAGCCTGGGAAAGATTTCACAAAATGTGATTAAGTTCAAAATCCAGTCATTCTCGAGTGGCTGCACTTTTCTTTCTTTCTTTCTCTTTGTCTGCAGAAATTGGACAGCTTGGAAATGCACTGAATGAGTCATATTTGTTTACGACCCCAGTTTATTGCAAGTAAAGTTTAGGATTTGTATAAAAATACAAATGTAATTCATATGAACTGTTTCACTTCTCGGTCACTAACTGGTATCTGAGTCTTGAAGTAAAAGCAGCTGCAATGTGCCTAACGTTACAAGAGGTGGCTCCACATGAACAATTCTTGGCAGTGACCACAGGGAGAAAGGCACTGTCAGATCATCAGACCAAGTCATTTTTATGATCTCCATACTCGTAACTGATTTATCAAACTTGTCACATGAGATTAATTACGGTAGCTGATTGTGTGCTAATAAAGTACAGAGTGATCTGTTTTAATCAGTGTGAAATGTTTAAATGTTTTTTTTAAAGCAGTCGTGATGACAACTTCAGCGTGTCTGTTGGTTTACCTGCACTGACTCCTTGGTAACCTTTTGTTGCTGTAACATTTAAGTGTCTCTTCGATCTTCTCTTACTACCACCTTCTCTCTCTTCCTGTCTCACAGAGAATATATGGGCATTTTCTGTAGGTGGATCTTTGGCAGAGCCCGAGAGCCACACAGTGTGCCTTAATGTGCTCATGATTCCAAATTCCAGAAATCAAGAGTTAAATCTACCCCATCTCTCATCACACAGTGAGTTTAAACTTTAAGAATAAACAGAGAATGAAATAAAAATGGCCATTTGTTTTATTTTGTATGCCATATTTTGTGACTAATAACCTCAAACAGCTTTTCAGTGATTCATTTACAGATTGGTGACAAATTAAAGGAAAAAACAAACCCTGACCTGTTTACAGTCGAGGGCTGTTTTGCTATTTGTGGATATTTTTCTGGTTTGATTTGGGATCTTAAGCATCCTAAGTGACAGAAATGCCATGCTGTTTCTATCCTGCCCCCTGACAGCACAAGACAGCACAAGAAGGGTCAAATGAATGGTATAAATATGAAAATTATGATTTAGATGTTACAGCCATCCAGAGTTAGACAATCCTCTTCACCATCACCATCAGAACATCAATTGGAGAACATAAGATTTTTCAGGACACCTGCACAAAGTAGTTTCCTAAATAAAGAATTGTGTTGCTGGAGGTTTCATAGAGAAAAAAATACAAACCATTTTCATGTGTTTTGGACTTCCCCACAACTCCAGCAACACTGGCCTCAGCTAAAGATAGCTATAGGAAGAATATTTAAGATAACAGTCCCCTTTTCTTTTGAGATCTTATATTTACGTTTAAGAGCAGATACACTGGATGAGTTTGAAAACAAATATCTGTACAAAATTTAATTAACTCCGACAAGAAAATGGTGAATAACTGGATTATTGTAGTTCACGACATTTACATGATTGAGAAGCTGACCTTTATTTTAAGACAGGAAAAGGAAAGGAAAGGAAAAGGAGTAATGTTTAAGTCTTGGGATCCTGGATTGACGATGAATTATCATTTAGAGCAGATACTTCCGCTCTCTACTTGCTAACCTCCTCAAAGTTATGTTAATATTACCTTATTTACTTACTTTCTTCATTGGTGTTGGGTTTACATGTGTTATCAAAGAAAATTATAATGTGAAAGCTGTTGTGGTGTGAATAGCATGTACATCCCTGATTCCAAATAAAAATTTAAATAACAACAACAACAAAAGATCAAATAGGTGTTTATCCTTTGGAAAAATACATTTCCATCCCTAGATTGCTGCTCCGCAGATTTATAGACAAAAGACAACTGAACCTCTTCTGGCTGGAAGCACATGGTAGCCCAGTGACTTTCTTTATCTTATTTTGTCCTTTTTCTGGAAATCCTGTTTCGTCAAAATACAACTTGATGGTTTTCAGATGACTGAGCTCTAAAATGCTTTGATGCTTTCTTGGTAAGGATGCCTTAACATGCCACAAGCAGATGACCTAATCGTCTAAACCCTCGGGCAGAGATTAATCAACAATCATGTGGCTTCCTTATGAGAATCTTAGAGTCCTGATTCATCCTTACACACACACACACACACACACACACACACACACACACACACACACACACACACACACACACACACACACACACACA